AATGTTAATGGCTATTCACTTCTTAATACTATAGAGAACAGCTCTAAAATCATTTTGAAATAATGGTCCAATGTTAATGGCTATTCACTTCTTAATGCTATAGAGAACAACTCTAAAATCATTTAAAAATAACTCAATAATAATCTATTCAGTTATCAAAATGAACAAAACTCCTTTGCTTTCCATTTTCCCAAACTGTCTTTGGTGCCTTCCATATAGTTGGTGCTTAATCAATGTTTGTTGTATTTGAATTTGTTGGATTTTGCTCAGTTGTGTAAACTACAGTGTATATATACTAGTGTAAAAAGATATATCACTGAGAAAATTTATGATTGGCAAAGAAAGTAGGCTAGTTACATGGTGAGAGAGGTTGATTACAGACAGCTGAAGGGATGTACTGGTCTCTACTGAATATGAACAGACCTAGAAAAAGTCCTTCAGGGCATTAGGTGGATTTTTCCATACAGATTCTGTGAAAAAAATATGGCAAGAACCTGGCAGAATGATTGATTATAGTTGTGCTGTGATTTACACCATAGGAGTACCACTATTTTTTTTCTTTTTTGTTTTGTTTAGGCAATCAGGGTTAAGTGACTTGCCCAGGGTCACACAGCTAGTGAGTGTCAAGTGTCTGAGGTCAGATTTGAACTGAGGTCCTCCTGACTCCAAGGCCAGAGTTCTATCCACTGTACCACCTAGCTGCCCCAGGAATACCATTATTATTATTATGGATCCATTGAAATATTGGGACAGGCAAGAATCAATCAATCCATCTGCTTCTATTAAAGGCCTCTGTGCCAAGCACTGAGATATAAAAAGAAGAAGTGAAATCACCCCTGACCTGAAGGAGTTTACCTTCTATTAGGGGAAATAATATATCCAGAGTAAATATAAAGATTTGGGTGGGTGAAGGGCAGGGAGACATTGGGACAGGGAATCAAGGAATGTCTGATAAAGATATAAGTAAGGTTATTTGTGTTAACGATATGGTTATGAATTCTCTTCCTCCATAAGTACCTACGTGTGTTTCCTTTTATGAAAGTTTCTGAGGTGGGAGATAGAAGGTTGTGCAACGCTCTGTTTCTGATATTTGAACCGCCTATGTTTTTCATTTTTACAAAATATCACTATCAGAATCAGTTTACTAGTGGCTACAATAAGCTAGTTATGTTCTTGATTTCATGTTTCCCAAGATTCCAGACTTACTACAATCTCACTTTTATTGCTACAATCGAATTACTTTTCATCACCATAGGTCACCCCTGGATCTACTTGTGTTGTCTTTGGGCTGGGAGCAGTTGGCCTCTCGGTTATTATGGGCTGTAAATTGGCTGGTGCTTCCCGGATCATTGGAATTGACCTTAACAAAGATAAATTTGATAAAGCCAAGTCTGTAGGAGCCACTGAGTGCATCAGCCCTAAGGACTACACAAAACCCATCAATGAAGTCTTGAGCGAAATGACTGATAATTCTGTTGGGTATACCTTCGAGGTTGTTGGAAGCCTTGAAACCATGGTAAGTAATCAGCAAGTATACAGGCTTTGGGGGGAACCACAACTGAATAGTCAACCTCAGGTCAAAGCTAAGCAATGATAGAGTTCACCTCTCATTTGTTTGATTTATTTAAAAGAGTCCTTAGGACACAGATATTACCCAGACTAAAGTTGCATTTGTAGAAATCAGTTTCGATTGGCCAACAAGAATTAAGGAAAGATGTGCAAGTATTGGGCTAGTTTCTGGAGTTCCAAATCCAAAAGTGAGACAGTGCCTGTCCTCAAGGAACTTATATTTTACTAGAAGGAGATAATGCACATATGAAAGTGAGGGAAGGGAGTATTGGTTAGCTGAATCATAGGGAGTAAGAATGGAGCCATACATTGTCACACCATTTCCAGTGGCAATGGTAGTATTCACAACGATTATTGTTCTTAAAACAAGAGCGGAGACATAAACCTGGAAATATGGGCAGGGTTAGGTTCTTGGGGGAAGGGCAAATACCTAGATACCTGTGCCAGGTGTGCCTTAGTATCCTGGTAGAGATCTAGATACAATATGAAGCATGGTCTGGTGCTGGCTAGACACAGCAACTGATGGCAGTTCTCATTCATTCAATCACTGACCAGTATATTTAGAAACTGACCAAGAGTATTTGAAGTGTAAGATCAGCTTTATATTATTGAAGTAGAGGACTGCAACATTATCTTCTTTTTTAAAATTTAATCTAATTTTTATGTAAATACTATTTTATTTTTTCAATTACATATAAAGATAGTTTTCAACATTCATTTTTAGAAGGTTTTGAGTTCCAATTTTTCTCCTTCCCTCTTTTCCCTTCCCCCTCCCCAAGAGGGCAAACAAACTGATATAGGTTATACATGTATAATCATGTTAAACATATTTATTTCCACATTAGTCATGCTACATTATCTTCTATGAGTTAGAAGAGACATTAGTCTTAGTAATTAACACTCAGTAATTAATCAGTAATTCAAAGAAAATATGTACTTTCCTGAATAATAATAATAATAATAGCTAACATTTATATTGTGTTTACTATGTATCAGGTATGTGCTAAGCACGTTACAATTATTATGTCATTTGATTCTCACAACAACCTAGGAGATAGGTGCTATTATCATCCCTAGTTTATAAATGAGGAAACTGAGGTAAACAATGAAGTGACTTGCCCAGGGTCACATAGCTAGTAAATGTCAGAGGCTGAATTTGAACTCAGGTCTTCCTGGCTCAAAGTCAAGTACAAATAACTTTCAAAGTACTATTACCTCATTTTATTCTAACAACCACCCTGCCAGGAAGGTGCTATTCTCGTTCCCATTTTACAGATGAGGAAACCGAGACTAAGAGAGATTAAATGATTTTCCCTGTGTCACACAGCTAGTAAGAGGCTAGATCTGAACTCCAGTCTTTCTCACTTCAGGTCCAGCAATCTATCCATTGTCTAATGAAGAGAGAAGTAGACCCATTCGTGTGTCTTGGAAGAGCTTAACCAGCCCAGTGATCTACCTGAAGGGCAAAGGAGGGGAAAGGGGGAGCCAGGTGGTCACCAAAGACTCTTTTGGTGGTTCTATGTTCTTCCCAGGGAATCTTTGCCCTTTTACTCCTCCTTACTTTGCCCATCGGGATTTCTGCTTGCTCATATGTAAATCAACCTAGATAAATAGACCTTCATATTAGCACAGTGGACGCTCTCTCGGATTACCAAACAGAAATTGCAACCCCCTTCTGGAAGATGCTTGTTCTGACTCCCATTAAGGGTCTACGGTGTTGGCCTAAGGGTGGAGTTTGTAGGGAAGACAGCAATCAAGAGGGGATGTGCCAAAGTCCCTACTGATCGTTGTTGGTTAGGAAATCAATTTCCAATCTCACTGTTGATGCTCTTCAGTGACCTAGGTGTAAGTAACTCCTAATTAATAATGGTTGCCTGTCATCGATGGATGTTGCTTACCTCTTACCTAATGCCATTTAGGTTTATTGTGAGGGCAACTGATGGCATGCTTAATTAAACTTTTACATTAGTAATATGTTTGCACTAGGTATTATTAGTATTCAAAATAAATCTAAACAACTTCTGCAAAGTCCCTAGTGAACATTGCAAAGAATGATATTACTAAGCTCAGTAACCTAGTTTTGGCAAATACATGGAGAGAAAGACAGAGAGAGAGACAGACACAGAGAGAAGAAGAAGACGAAGAAGCAGAAGAGAAGGAGGGAGGAAGGGAGGAAGGAAGAAAGAAAAAGGAAGAAGAAAGGAAGAAAGGAAGAAAAGAAGGAAGGATAGGAGGGAGGAAGGGAAAAGGAACTAATACTTAGAAATGATCTACATTAGTCTCAGTTTCTTTATGGGAAGCAAGAAGTTTCCTCTTCAAGTATAAATGTGGTTTCTTTTTAAGTCCTGCATGAAAAATCAAACAAGAGAATTGCTCAAAGAGTTTCAGTATTGTTTTACTGTTGGTTTATCTTAAACAGTGTGGTTAGCGGCACCGGTGAACCATTGTGAAAAAGAAATTTTTAAAAATCCCAGCCTGGTGCTATAGAAAAAGGACTGAACTTTGGCCCACCATACCTGATTTTAAATCCTGGCTCTACCACATGCTACCTTGGGACCTTGGGAGAGCTGCTTACCTCTCTGAACCTCAGTCTCTTCATCTGTAAAATGAGGAGCTTATTCTCAAATGATCCTAAGGTCTCTTCTAGCTCTAAATCTATGATCCTATGACTCTATCTTCTGTTTCCTGCCTTCAGGGGGAAAATGTCTATAGCAGGAAGACCAAGAACTGCAGGGTCTTTACAATATTCAAAATGGGTTTCATTACACAAGAAATCTAAGTTATGTAAGCATGTGAGAGCATGCTTCAATTTTTTAGCAGATGATTCCTCATCTCTGGAACAGGCACTGTCCTTGCACCCGCCTCACAGAAATGCAAGTTTCCCTCAAATCACAGCTTAAATGCAGCATTTTTCATGTGACTTTTCCTGACTCCCCTAGCTGCTAGCACCTTTTCCCTACTCCAAAACCCAAATTATCTCAAATTACTATCTTTCTAGATTTTGTATACTTATAAGTGAATGTGTCACCCCCCCACCTCTATTCCCCCTCCACCCCATACACACACCTTGAATACAAGATCCTGAAAGGCAGGAACCATTTCATGTTTGACATACTCATTATTTAGCCTAGCACCTGGGAAATAGTAAGCTCTGAAAAGAAGCTTGCTGATTCATTAATTTGGGAGCCTGTACTAATTGGTGGCAATGGAGCAAGGCACAATTCTCTTTCCATTCTCATAGATACTATAAGAAGCACATTTTCTCCTTCATTTCCATGTCAGATTGATGCCCTGGCTTCCTGCCATATGAGTTATGGGACCAGTGTGGTCGTAGGAGTTCCTCCATCATCTAAAATGCTCACCTATGATCCCATGCTGCTGTTCACTGGACGAACCTGGAAAGGATGTGTTTTTGGAGGTATATGGTCAAGAAATGAGAGATATTTCATTCAGATATGTGCCAGAACTGTAAGGAGCACTGGGAATATAAATAGAAAAGGAACGGGAAAGGGAAGGGAAGATAGTCTCTTCTCTCAAGGAACTTATATTCTAATGGGGAATGATAACACATAGAAGAGAACTGGAAAAGGGGTAGGTGCAGAGGTAAGGGGTAATCCATAGAGCCAGGAGAGAAATGAGTATGGATGCATTGCTTCTTCATGAATAGTGGTCTTGAGCAGGGAACTCCCAAATCAGAAGAGGGTCACAGATACGGAGACATCATTAGAATGAGAAGAATGTTGGAAGAGGCTTGACATTCTGATGTTTTTTATACATTCCATGATCTCATAATATTTTAAGAAGCGTGTCAAAAAAGGGAAATTCTTTGAGTGACATTTAGAGAACTAAAGGAGAAGTATAAAGAAGATATCAAAAAGGAAAAAATAATTAGCTAGATCTTACACTGATTGCTCTCACTACTGTCACTTCTAACTCAAGTTTTCAAAAGGTTTAGTTCACTCTGAGTTAGTCCTTAGAAATATTTTCCTAGAGGGCATTTTTGTGACTATAAATAATGTTCATGTTAATTTTTATTGACTTCTTTTACCTCAATTTCACAACCAAGTATATATCCCTACCAGCCCATAGCCAGAGTTCTATCTCCTATAGAGAAGAAGAAAAAATAAAGGGGGTTGGGAGGTTCACTAAATCACCACGTTAACCAATTCCAACACTACAGGAGATGTTTTACACTCACGTTGTTCAGTTCTGTCCATCTCTTCGTGACTCTATGGTCCATGGGGTTTTCTTGGCAAAGATACTGGAGTGGTTTGCCATTTCCTTCCCCAGGAGATTAAGGCAAACAAATTAAGTGACTTGCCCAGAGTCACACAGCTAGTAAGTATCTGAGGCTGGATTTCAACTCTCTTCTTCCTGACTCCAGGCCCAGGACTCTATCCACTGAACCATCTAACTGTCTCAACACCCATGGTCCTCTACAAGGAGGAAGGAGAGCTGTGTTTTCTCACCTCTCTTTTGGAACCAAGCTTAGGCATTTTAATCATAAAGCATTCCATTTTGTATGTGTATATTTGGGGTGGGGTGGGAGGTGTTCTTTTTATTTGCATTGTGATCATCGTATATCATTTTCTTGGTTTTGCTTATTTTTCATTAGCTCACATATGTCCTAACATGATTCCCTATAATCTTCACATTAATCATTCCTTACAGTGTCGTAATATTCAATTACATTTATGCTCACGGCTGGAAGTTCTGGTTTGCTCTATCATTCTGTGCAATGTCTATAGGGCCGTGCACATTTCCTAGACTGCTAAGCAGCATTTTTAGTTCCTGAATTAGAGTAAATAAGAAATTATAGAAGTCTGTAGCTGCATCCATCCTAAGGGAGATGAGTTGACCACAGTAGTAACTTCCATTTATACAGTGTTGAAAAGTTGCAAGGCACTTTCCTTACAACCATCCCTTGAGATAACTAATACAAGCTTTATTCTCTTTTTTAAAATGACACAACTACAGCTCACAGAGGTTAAGCAACTTGCCCGTTGTCATTTTCATAAATAGCAGGTCCTGAGTTCAAAACCAGTCTCCTGCCTCTAAGACCAGCATTTTTTTTTTTTTTCTTGTCTATCCTGTTGTCCCTGACAGATCAGTACAGGCTGAGCTTTACTTTGCTGCTGCTGAAGTGGGTAGGGAGTGGGTGGGACTGAGAGGAGGTGTCATTTAACATGGAACAGGCCATATTGTGAATCCTGATCTCTGTTCAGTACCATTTTAAAAGTATCCATATCACATTATCTTCCCCATCAAATGTACCACCTCTCCTATCTTCTCTATTTCTATTAATTTCTAATTAATTTCTAATAATTAATAATTCTAATAATAAAATAAAAAAATAATTTCTAATAATTTCTATTAATTGATTTCTATGAATAACGCACACTTGAAGTCTCAGAGAGGCAGCATAATATAGGGCATGCAGCACTGGACTTATTTTGAGAAGATTTTGGTCCCAGTTCTTGCTTTTCTAATAGTTAGGCCATTTTCATCTTCAACCTCTAAGAGACTTCAGTTTCTTTGTCCGTGAAATGAGAGAGATGACCTCTTCATTCTGTATTAACTCTAAAAATTCTATAATCCTAGTCAATACTTTGTAACACATATAAAAAGCAATTTCCATGCAAAAAGAAAATCTATACTATTTGAAATAAATGATAAAATGGGAGAAAAGGGAAAGTAAGATACATGAAAATTTAACCAACCCTACTCCCTAATTACCTGTCTTGTTATTATGGGCCTGATATTCTTTGAGTTCAGTATATGGTTAAGTGAAGCATTTATGGCATCCTTGCCCTTGAGAAACTTACAAATTCAATGTGTGTCAGTTTCCCTAGACACAAGGGTCCTGGATATACTTCAGGGATCTTTGTGACTCAGATTCCCACCTCAGTGATCTGGGAAATTTGGTATATGACAGACCCAAAGGGTAATCACCAGCTACCCCTACAAATCAATGAAAATTTAAGGCCTTGCATCTGAGTCTAAAGAATAAAACCTTGAGTAACCTTCTCCCTTAAGAGATTTGTATAGTTCTGTACTCGGCCAGTATCACCAGTCATTCCTTCCCATCAATGTTTCCACTTGCTGTCTTTGCTGCTCAGCTCTCCTAAGCTTCCAGCAGGTAATGGTCATTTCATCATTGGTACACAGTCCCTAGTGCTTAGTTTTCATTCTATTAGCTCACTATCTTCTATAGTTTGGCAGGTCTGTTGTCTCCCAGCAGATGGCACTGGTCTCCTTTCCTAGGGGACCAGCTCTATGACATTGGATTGCACAAAAAGTCTTAAAATTTAACTTAACATCTCAAAAAACTCATCCTTCCATTATTCTTAAGTTTTCATTATTACACAGTTTCCTCAGTGCCAAATTTCACATAAGAAGGCTCTGGTGAATTGTAACAGATAGAAGAGTTCTTTATTCTTCTGTTTCGTGAGTGGGTCTCTGCCTTCAACCCCCAGGTAGGCTTATAGTCAGTTATTACTGTTTGCCTTCTCCCTTCTTTAGCATCCAGGCAATATCTCTTCTCATCTGGTTTGCACTTCTTACTTGATTTCAAGGTTTAGGGTAGTATCCTACTTTCTCCCCAATTGTCCTTATATTTTTCCACTTTTTAGGTTAGCTGGTGGCATAGTGAATTAAAGCACTGGGCCTGGAAACAAAGACCTGAGTTCAAATATGGCCTTAGATACTTACTAACTCTATGACCTTGGATAAATCACTTAACTTGTATTTGCCTCAGTTTCCTCAACTGTAAAATGGGGATCACAATAGGACATACCTCACAGGGTAAGGATCAAATGAGATAGCATTTGTAAAAAGCACTTAGCATAATGCCTGGCACATAGTGGGTGCTGTATAAATACTTAATCTCCTCCCCTTCTCTCCCTAACTGGAATGAGTTGTTCACATTATCCAGGGTTCCTTTCTAAAACAGCTACAAGAAAGTCGGGGAAGAACTCCCAGTGATCACAGGAGAATGAGAGATTGAGTTGTAGTCTCTGTTATCTGATATGAATGGAAGAGAAAAGAAAAGGCTAACTTCCATCTCTAGTAGATGGTGATGATATTGCCCTAACTTACAAGATTATTGGAAAGATCAAAGTCTATGTAGATCATTTTCTAAATTATAATGCACTTTATAAAGCTCTACATAAAAAGGAAACTAGAGACAAAACCCACCAAAATAATGTCAGTTCATGAGAGTCTGGTGCCATTTCAAAGACAAAGGATGGAGTCCTAATTCTGACATTGATTAGTTATGTGACTGAAAGCATTTAGCTTTCCTGAACCTTAGTTTTCTCAACATTAAAATACTTGTGCAATCAGTCAGTCAATGAATAACCTTATTAAGTACCTAGTATATGCCAGGCACTGTACTAAGTGCTGAGAATACAAAAAAAAAAATGGCAAAGGATAGTGTCTACTCAAAGAGGTCACTACACCATCTATGCAGAATAAATTAGAGTTAATCAATAGAGGAAAGGAACTAGCATTAAGCACAGCATGAAGGGGAATCAGGAAAGACTTCTCATAGAATATGAGATTTTGGCAGGGAAATTAAGAGAGCCAGAGAAACCAGGATGCAGAGAGGATGAGGGAGATTACCCCAGGCATGGGGAAAGGCCAGTGGAAAATACCCAGACGGAGTGCCTCTTGTGAGGAACACTTAGGAGGCACTGTTACTGGATCACAAAATGGGGGTGGCTGGAGAAGGGGGAGTAATCACTAAGTATGTTACCAAGTTGTTTTAATATAAGCATTTTGTACATTATAAAGATCTATATAAATGTGAGTTGTTATTTCTATTACCTAAACTCCAAAAGGACATGATCAGTATAGAGTGAAGTTTCTCAGAGGGAATAAAACTTTTGTTAGTTGGTAAAGGACAGTATGGTCCTCCCCACTTTACCCTTTTCTTGCCAAAAAGATATTTTATATACTTCAAGAATGTCATTAGATTTTTTATTAAAAAAGATATCATACAAAATAAAGGTTATCATAATTAAGTCTAAAGGGAAATATATTTAAATGTTCAATAGATTGTTAGTTCTATTCATTTGGGTATGAAACCAGTGCAGATGGCAACCACCTCTCCCCACATGCACACACACACACACACACACACACACACACACACACACACACACACACACACACACATATTCTCATCCTGTGCAGTTTCTTACCCATTTAATTCTGTAAGTCCTGTTTAGCCAAGGCAATCCACCTAGTGCTCTGAAGGACCATGGAAATGTGAAGTCTTTGTGCAGAAACTCATCGCTTTCCTTCACGCTCCCCCTGCCCCCATGCCTCTCATATAGTAAGTACTTAATAAATGTTTGTTCACTGACTGATTTTTAAAAATACTGATACTTAATTTTTTTAAGGTTGGAAAAGCAGAGATGACATCCCAAAACTAGTGTCTGATTTTATGGCAAAGAAATTTGACTTGGATCAGTTAATAACCCATGTTTTACCTTTTGACAAAATCAATGAAGGATTTGATCTACTCAACAAAGGAGAGAGGTATGTGTTTTATTTTGGTCATACCAAAAAATGCAATTTGTATAATATGGTATTTATAAATCTGATCATCTTGTACACACGATATTTTTCTATTTGAGCCTTTCACAAAATAAAAATCTTTGTAAGATTAATATTACATTATCCCAGATGAACATATATTTTTCTTGGTACTTTCTACTTTTTTTCATTTTTTGGGTCTATTAAGTCCTATTTCTTTCACAAAATTGGAGCTCACTTAGATGATGTCACCTGAGTTCAGTGTAGTAGAAAAGATGTTGTAGAGTCAAATGATCTGGGTTCAAATGCCAGTCCTACCTCTTACCAATCATGTGACTTCATAATTGGCAAGTCACTTTATGTCTCTGGGCATTACTTTCTTTCTCTGTAGAGTGATGGGGTTGGCTTTGATGATGTCCAGAGTCTCTGAGTTATGCTCCTATGGGGTAACTTCTGATGTATTTACTAACTCTAAGAATTATTGATGTTATACCCTGATATTCCCAGGAAGATTAACGTGAGCATGGATGCAATGGTGAATGACTTGGTTTTTATTTAAATTTTTAAAAATTAACTCAAATCTGCTTTTTCTCCTTTTTTTCTCTCCACCCAAAATTGAAAAAGGAAAAGTAAAACAAAACCTGGCAACAAACATGCAGGGTCAATCAAAATCAATTTTTCTACTGGCCATGTCCAAAAATTTTATCTCAGTCATTTGTACTCTGAGTTTATCACCTCTCTGTCAGGAAGTGGGTGGCATATTTCATTGTGAGTTCTTTGGAATTGTATTGATCATAGTTGTTAAGTCTTTCAAAGTTGTTTTTACAACATTGCGGTTATTATATGAATTGTTTTCTTAGTTCTGCTCGTTTCACTACATGTCAGTTCATAAAAGTGTCCCAAAGTTTCTTTGAAACCGCCTCCTTTCATTGTTTCTTACATCATGATGCTATTCCATAATATTCATATACCATAACTTGCTCAGTCATTCCCTGATTAATTAGCTCCAATTTTTTTCCAATTCTTTGCCATTACAAAAGGTGCTGCTATAAACATTTTTGTACATAAAGGACCTTTTCCTCTTTTTGGGGTGTAGACTTATGAGTGATATCACTGGCTCAAATGGTATGCACAGTTTAGTAACCTTTCCCAGTCCTTTCATTTTACAGAAGAGGAAACTGAGGCTCTGGGAGACCAGGAGAGTGGCCAAGCCTGGTCTTTCTAGTCTAGCCTAAAGGCCAGCAATTCTGAGGACAGAGATTCTCATTTTGAATATCAACATTCCACCTGCATTTAATGGCATCTCATGTAGGAGACTATTATCTCTTATTTGAATGAAAGAAGAGGAAACCGATTTTTATAAGAGTTACTGATCTATCCCAGTTCCTCTTCTCTGCCAAGAGCATCAGGGACTGTGCATTGTATTTTCCTGGAGAGCAATGGCTCATGGGATGATAGATTCAGCTATGGCATAGCCTCTGGGCTCATCTGTCCCAAACCTTCCACTTTACATGTGTGGAAACAGCCCTAGTTTGGGATCTAAAATGTGTCACTAGTTACAGATCTTGAGACCAGTAGAAACGGCATCAGGACTCACTTACCACTACATCTCCCAGGCTTCTAAGGCTTCCCACTGGGCTTTTCCAGTTGAGTTTTCAGGTCCACCATTTTTTTTTAAAGAGATACTACATTTACTATCTATGTGCATACTAGTTAGGAAGGCACACCATAATTTTAATCAGGACCTGGTACTATGTCACTCTTTATTAGAAGATTGAGAAACAAGATATGAACAGGATCTTACATTTTCTATTTCAGCATTCGATCAGTACTTCTGATGTGAGCTCCTAAGAGACAGGAGGTACGTGTGGATGCATCAGCAGCTGGCTCTTTCTCTGATATTTCACTTTCATATAATTATGATGGGACATGTGTGTTATCTCTTGTGGATTGAACACAAACCAGAAATTAAGTACCTTGGAATAAATAAGCTTTTCCAAAATAAGGGATTAACATGTCATTGATACAGTTCATTTTACCTGGGGTAGTAGCAAGGTATTAGTGTTATTTTTTTAATTTGTAGAAAGTAGGTTATCTTGGATTAGAACACCAATAAAAGGCATAAATTCGTTACTTTTAACTGAAGTAGAAATTTTAAGTGGAATCTCAATTTTCTTGGGTAAGAAGCAATAAGAGCTTTAAAGACTATTCCTCCAAGGATTCCCATCATCTGCTTCCAGGAAACTAGGCTAGGCATTGGATGGAGTTGGATGGTGCTACAATAAAACTCTGGAAAGACTTTTAAAGTTATATTTACTACACAGAAAGCCTATACCTGACTTCTTTCTTTTTTCCCTTTATGTATCAAAGGAGGTGAACTTTTTTTAAATACACCTTTTAAAAATAAATTTAATCTGTTAAGAAACACTATCTAATCACATGATAGTTTATTTGCTTCCATTTGAAATATGTGGGTATGTATATATGCATATATATATATACATACACATACTACATACACAGATATATGTATGTTTTAATTTAAAAAAAGCATATGATACATTTCGGTTCAATTCAACATGCCTTTATTAAGTCCATTCTCTGTGCCAGGTGCTATACTGGGTACTGGGGATACAAAAGCAAAAATGAAATAATTCTTGCCCTCAAGGAGCTGACTTCATATGCTTTGCATATGTTCCCAATTCATTCCAAAAGGCATTGTGAAATAATTTGGTGGAAATGAAAAAAGAGAGTGTGGAATTAGTGTGGAATTATTTCTACAAGGACTGACTCTCACAGAAAAAAAAAAAACATGCCCTTTCACCTTTTTGAATTGCATGCTGAAAATAGTCAGCATTTCATTCTGACAATTTCCAAATTAATATATGCATACAAATTCTTCTGGATGGGGAATTAAGCATGATATTTTCACAGACCCCTGCCCATATAGAAATTAATCCATCCTAACACCTTTTTGGTATAGTATTTATGTGCTGTAGAGGATTTTGAGTACTTTCTTGCTTTCCTATTTTGAGAGATATGGCATTTTATTCATGTACACGTTTCCTTCACTAATGAGAGCACACTCATCCGACACTGTATTGGTTTCTATGGACTACCAATACTTTGATGATGCTTAGCTAAAATGGTCCTCAGTTGATAGCCCCAAGGCAGAGTTTCCAGCTTGGTGAGACCTACTAGGGAAGAAGTGATTATAGAACCCTGAGTCATTTTTGCACTGTAGTGAAGCACCCAAGGGGGGCTCTAGTATATACAGTTATCCTTTCTTCATCATGGGGATTTGGGGCTCGATACCCCCACGATCTGAAAAAATCTGCATAAAATTATTGTCCCTTCCATTGTATCAGAGAAGAATTCTGAATTTTTTCTTTTTCTTTTTTTTAGCCAGAGATAAAATTTATTAGAACACAGGTTGGGGTGGGTGAGATTTTAGGAATCTGAACTATTGTGACACTCATATTGACAAGCGGGACAGAATTAATCTGAGCCAATGGCCAGACTCTTAAGGAATCTAAGCAATTAATGGTGGGGAGGGGGAGAAACAAGATCAACCTTATATACAGAAAGACTGTGGGAAGGATCTAGGAGTGGCCAAGTAGTCTGGGGTGACTGGGAGGTAACAGAGAAGGACCCAGAAAGGCCGGGTGCCCAGGGGAATCCCAGGGACCTGGGCAATGTGGAAGGGGTAGACAGAATCAAGGAGTGGCAGTCTAAGGTGAGGCCAGGTGCAGATAATGAGGGCTGGGCTACGTTAGAGGTAACAGAGAATTGGAAATAGCGGCAGGGTCAAAGCTTCAATGAAAGGATTATTAACTGGGAAGGGCAGGGTGCCCCAGGTGAATGTCAGGGATCTGGGCCAAGGGGAAAAGTCCAGGGGCTTTTCCTTTTTGGGGTCTAGATACCAAAGACATGGTCTTTTTCTTTTGGGAATTAAGATCCCATCCCCATCATTTCTACCTCAAACAAATAGGACCCAAATTCTTTTGGGATAAGGGTAAACGTCTTAGTTTCTGAAATTGCTCCTGCTGGCAAGGGGCATAGAGCTGTCCCTGCCTCAAGGGGGTCCCAAAGAGGAGGTTGGTTGGAACCAAGCACAGGCTGCATCCAAGAAATGATGGGGGGACATTGACTGGTACCCACTGTCTGCTACCAACTGTAAGTGAATGGTCTGTAGTCTGGAAGACACAAATCTGACAGAAAAGACTACAGTGCCCAACTATAGGGAGAAGTAAAAGTGCAGGAGCCCTATCAAAATCATTTACATTTGATCCGCAAAATTATCTGATCACGTTACTTTCTCAAAAGTTTAAGTAACACTTTTGCAGGTAGATGTTTTCCACTCTTAGCTAGGGACTGACTTTTTTTTTTTTCGGTGAGGCAATCGGGGTTAAGTGACTTGCCCAGGGTCACACAGTTAGTTAATATCAGGTAGCTGAAGCCGGATTTGAACTCAGGTCTTCCTGACTCCAGGGCTGGTGCTCTATCTACTGCGCCACCTAGCTGCCCCCAGGGACTGATTTCTACTCCAATTATAACAAAAGACTAGGGAGGATACTAAAGTAATGATTAGGTCAAATAGGTTACCTCCTTTGAAGAAAATTGATTGCACTGAAATTCTCTTCCCCAAACCAAACTGAAGATGTTTCTGATTTAATTTCAGTAATTTGGGGGATGGAATGACTACACATTCAAGTCAAAACAGCAAGATCTCACACATTTGCATTGGGCTTATATCTTCTACTGACCATTTGCTCTGATTATAGAAATTTGCTATAAAAGGATAAAGCATGGACAAAATTTATACAGGATGGAGCAGCTAGGTAGCTCAGTGGATAGAGCACAGGCTCTGGAGTCAGGGGGACCTGAGTTCAAATCTGGCCTCAGACACTTGATACTTACTAGCTGTATGACCCTGGGCAAGTCACTTAACCCTAACTGCGTAGGTAAAAAAAAATAATTATACAGGATAAAACACCCTTAGAATTCAGACAATTCACAGTTTTCTAATCATGCAGTATCAATTCCACATCATAGCCAGACTCTGGAATAGCTAGGTGGGTAATATTCCTTTTCAAAGAAACACAATGGGGAAACTAAGCCAGGAGGATCCCATCTTAGACTGAAGCTAAAATTGTCCTCTCAGTTTTTCCTCCACCTTTAACAGTCACATTCTCTCTGAGTCGCTTGTGGCATTCCTCTCAGGTGGTAGATTATTGAGTATTGATTATTGATGGATTTTTATGATCCATCAGACAATTCAAAACACAACTCATCATAATCCCATGAGCTTTTACCTCAGATGGCAATTTTTACTAATCAAAAATTTTCCAGGACTCACATCTCAAATTTTAATTTGTCCTTGTGAGGCTTACATACCTTCCAGTCTTTGCTGGAGAAGAGCCTGAGATTAGGCAGTTTCCCGGTGTCAGGGAACCAAAATGCTGGTGTTTAGGAGTTCAGTGTGTTATTGTTTCACCATTAGGAGCAGGCCAGACTCTTAAGGAATCTGAGTCACCTTTTTCTTTTTTGGGGTGTTTACAGTACATTGTAAAATTTGGATTAAGTATTTGGTCATAAGCTACATGTAGGTCAATGTTAAGTAGAAATTATTTTTCTGTGTTGTCTGCTGGCCTTTGCATCTGTGGCTTCTGCAAAACTCCCAAAAAATTCCCATTTAATTTTTATGCCAACCCCTTGGGATGGTAAAAATGTGATGCAGAAAGTCACAATGTGGAAGGGATAAGTGTAACATAATTTTTTCTGTCATTCTTAGAAAGAAGGGACAGGATTTTCTCTAGATTTAAGATTTAATCAGAATCGGGGATTTGCAATGTGGAAACTCCCCATAGGGATGTAGATGAACCACTATCCTGCAGTTTATAAATTCAGAGATTTGCCTGGTGCACTTAATGAAAGGGCCCACTTTTCAAAATGTGTTATTGGTAATTTGAGGGTTGGGGGTGGAGTGGTGGTTTTTTGTTTTATTTTGTCGTGTTTTCATGTGAACCTGAGATTTCATCAATGTGGGGAGTTCCCTGGGATGAAAATTTCCTCTTTTGATGCAGATAATAATTAATTCTTAACTCACACTATCTTCTTTGTAGATTTTCCTGAATGTTCTTCTCCTCTCTTTTTGACAGCTCCTTCTGAGTCTAATTTGCTAGATCACTATCCATATCCATGTCCATATGGGTATCCTTCAGGCCCTGTCCTGGATCTTCTTTTTTCTTCTCTATATTTTTTCAATGTTGACTTCACCAGTTCTTACAGGTTTAATTAATATCTCTATGCACATTATTTCCTTTTTTTTTTCTTTTTGGAGACAATCAGGATTAAGTGACGCCCCCAGAGTCACCAGCTAATAAGTGTCTGAGGCTGGATTTGAACTCAAGTCTGCTGACCCCAGGGGCAGTGTTCTATCTATTGCACACTTAGCTGCCATGACTTTCTAAATTTGCATATTCAACTCTAGTTTCTCCCCTGAGCTCCCTCCAGTCTTGCATCACTAACTACCTACTGAACATTTCCAACTGGGCATCCCATAGGTATATCAAACTCAACACGTCCAAAACAGAATCCATTATCTTTTCCCCAAACCCACCCTATCTTCTAAACTCAGTTATTATTGTCAAGGACACCACCATCCTATACTCCTCAAGGTTGTCAAGGTTGTCACCTTCCTTAACTCTTACTTTCCCTCTCTAGACATATTCAATCAGTTTCCACATCTTCTCCATCCTTCCTTCACAATATCTCTTGCATATTTAATCCTTTTCTCCTCTCCCTTTAGCCAATGCTATATTGGTCCCTATTCCCTCTATGCTGGACCAGTAGCTCACTATTCTTCTTGCCCCATGTCTTACCCCTCTCTAACCTATCCTCTGCCTGGCTGCTAAAGGGATCCAATATTTGTAGAGCACTTAGTGCAGTGTCTGGCACATAGTAGGTGTTTGTTCCTTCCTTGTGAAACAAACTCTAGTCTAGTCATGCCTTCCCTAGCTTGTACATGGTTTGAACCCAAGCCAAAGATGAAATGTGAGAGATTTATGAGATATTTGCTTAAGTAAAATGCCACTTCTGGTTATTTAATGTATCTGGATAGAGTACATTGCATATCATTTGGGGAGCAGGGAATGAAGATGAATGAATAGAACTGTCTATTCCATCATTCTCCTGGATCCCAGCACCTTGAATAAATAAGGCCTGAGACCATAGTCTCACAGAAACTGAGTCAGATGACTCTAAAATGACTCAGATGACCCGGACAAGTTATTTTTAACTCTGTAGGCTCAAATTTCCCCATGCGACAAATGAAAAAGCACAAATCTGACCATGACTCTCTC